CGACGACAGACTTGAGAATGCTGTCTTAAGAAATCAGAAACCGGAGTCCTTCGCGGTTTTGCAGATCTACCCAGAGAGAGAATGGAAACCTTTTCAGAGTCATTCTCCTCAGTGAAGCAAAGAATGGCCGCAGACACGTCGGAGACCAAAACGGAACCCTAATGTAGGTGCTAGAGGCGGACTTACTTGCAGCGACGAGCATGCCACAACAAGCAGTCTCACTTAAATCATCAGAGAAGACAAAGCCGTTAGACTGTTTATCTAGGTACCTGATCCTTGACTGTGATGCCGCAGGTGATGATCACAAGCATCAACAACAAACAATTCGAATCATTTGCTATTCACCTAGCGCAATCTCGTGCTACTCGCGAGTGACATTTAAGGCGCTAGTACTCCATATTTTCTACCTCCGAAACATCCAAAAAATGAGTAGTGTGATATCTGGTCTTGGAGTTGTGCGTCATTTGGCATCTAGGAATTTGTCTAGTTAAACTTAACCTTGCAGTAGTTTATTTTCTTGTGGCGTCAAATGTTCGACGCAGGACCTTCTTACCGACTTCGACCTGTAGTTGTCATCTCGGTGGGAGAACTTGGAATTGCATCTTATCTTAGAGGCAACATCGTTTTCACTCAGTGGCCTATAAGTGTTTACGAAAGGCACGTCTTTAAGCCTCCTGGTCTTGGAGAACCGAGACTGAGTTGTCTGTTCTGGGACATGCCAAAATGCATTTGCACGACCGCAATTACTTTGCCTTCCAGTCGTTTGACGTTTGATATTTCGCATCTGGCGGCTGTCATGCGACTGGGCGCATTGGTGTAGAGTGTTTTGGTGGTGATGACAGACGAACGACGGAAGAAGCGCGGCGGTTCATCATTTTCACGTCACGTCTCAATCATAATCGCTCACGTCGCGTCGCGACTTGTCTTCGTTGTGCTCGAATGATCACGGCGTAGACGCGACGCGACGCGATAGCAGTTTGCCGGAATGCATGTTGATGACTCGAAGCCTCATTGACCTCGTTTTGCCGCT